AAAAGGGGCAGATTAGCAGGGGAAGCAATGGCGCTTTGTTGTATCTCAATGTATCATATCTCACACCTATAAATAACTATCTTTACTGGTTCGGACTTGGGGTTTTCCACTCGGGTATTGAAGGAATTTATCCTTTATGTTTATTTGTTCATTCTTTCCGAGCATTTGGTCGATTGGCATTTCCTGTTTCCGAAACGAGTTTTTGTTATTTGATACATACATATTGGCATACAAGCATTGTAGGATATGATGGGTCCCTGAAAAAGACAAAGTAGTAAAATAGGATCTAATGGTTCATTAATGTCTCTAAACAAATCATGCAAGTTATTTCAATGTTATAGTAACTTAACATTATCTAGTCATTGATAGCTGGTACCTACGATTTAATAACGTTCAGACACGGTTTGTCTATGTTTTCTTTTCCCTGCTATTTTATTTTCTATTTTTTTGTGCTATTAACCTTTCGCGTCTTATTTGCTAATCAGTGTATGGTTTGGAGTATGACTTTGGAGCGCATGAGTACCCTACAAGTGAAGTGTTTGAAGTGGAACCAAGAAGTTGTCCCGGTTTCATCTTCAGACGATCAGTATTATTGGGCAGCACTAACACGTCTTGTTCAGAATTTCGGTTATTTATGGAACAATTTTCGCAGAAATACCATGGGGACACGTATCATTTGATTGTTAAGAATTGCAACCATTTCACTGATGAAGTGTGCCTACAGCTCACTGGAAAGCGTATTCCTGGGTGGGTAAATAGACTGGCTCGACTAGGAGAGAAAACTGCCTGTTTTCTTGTTCTTGTCATCATAGAAGATGTGGATTATTTTACAAGCTGACTATACCAGATACCGATGTTGCGTTTGTCAGAGAAAAGACATTGAGGCTTACCAGAGAAGAATGATTTCCTCAGGACTTTAATTGTTTATTTCGTGTGGGTTGTTATTAATTCTTCTACCATATGTTCTCAAATGCAAGGGAGACTGTCAGATTCAGATATCTTCAAGGCACAGTGATGATGCAATGCACTTCATTTTTATTCTAAAAATGTCAGCCAGGCCCAAATGTACTCCTTTGCTACCGTATGAAGGTCTAGATTTGTTACCATATAACCCTTAAAACACGGGTGATCAGATTCTGTATCATCAGATGTCTTTCCTTGATCTTTTTTGTAGAAAAATATATGATTTCTATATGCTTCGAGGTTAATCGAAGCTGAAAGTTGGAGTTTTTTGTTGTTGTGAATGCATTAATCTGCATTGCTTCGCATTGCAGAAATCTTCATACTGTTATGGTTGTTCAATCGGCCTCCGCTACATTTGTATTTACAAATGTAATTTCCAAATGCATGTGGATTATACCCTCAAGCCTCCCATGGAGTCTGAAGATGCTGAGGATGAACTTGCCATTCTACATCTCGCTAATCAGCATCTGTTGAAACCTGTCGATATGAACTTGCTGGATAGAGTTGGCTGCGCCATATGTGAAAACCTCTGCTATGGTTCAGTTTATGGTTTCCGATTCTGCAACCTTTTCCTCTTGCATGGCAACTATTCCACGAAAGGTCAATCATTTCTTCCACCCATGTCCACTTATATTGTTCACATTTCTTCACATGTATGTGTGTGCCGGTTGCGATGATCATAAGTTTCGCTTGAGCTTGATGTTTGGCTGTGAAAAATTATCATTTCAGATTAGATGCAGAACATGCGTTGCTTCTGACCGTGACATCTCCAGGTGCCTATCTGATTCAACATTACACCAATGTACATTGAGAGAAGCTTGTTGATGGTTACAATGAAGATGTTAAAAGTTGCTGCTGTCATGTATGCGGGGAACTACGATCTGATTCTGCTTATATTTACGAGAAGTGCAACTTTTACAGCCATAAATCGTGCAAAGTGGAAGCTCCACGACAGATCAACCACGCGTTTTATCAATGTCATCTCACCATTGTAACAACGCTCACTATCGTTGCCGTGGCTGTGGCTATGACGAACCTAGGCTTCGCTGTGGCTATGACGAACCTAGGCTTCTCTTTCTGTTGAGAAAAGTGTAATTTCTATTTGGATGGCAAATGTGCCTTTCTTCCTGCAGCAAACTCCAAAAATGCCAAGGAAATTCAGCGTTTCACCAAACAACATCCATTAAAGTTACTTCAAGAAGTGTCCGAGGATACCGTTCTTAGTCAGGTTCGATGCCATAGCATGTGGAGAAAACTGGCTCACCACAACTTCGGCACCCATTTTCGGTTTTACCAGATGCAACTTCTTTTTACATAAATCATGTGCCATTGAGCCACTGGATATTCGACATTTCTCGTACACCAAACACCCCTCTAACTCTCATTCCCTCCTCACAAGGACACCACCCCCTTCGGTGCATGCTGGAAGTACTCGCACACAATTCTTCTAGCCTACTGATGTTCGAACGGAGACTTTAACCTCCATACCGATAATGCAACTTTCGATATTAGTTGGATACGTTGTTGATTTACTAATTTCATGTATGCGATAAGCCCTTCTGTAGGCTCATTTGGCACCAAGTGGTTATCTAAAATTACCGAACACGAGTAGCACACAGTGCTTTCTGGAAAATTAGTGGAATTTTTAGGTCTTTGTACTGCACGATTACAGATACGACTCTTCAAATTATATAAGAGTCCGATATTTCAAGATCCAAAAGATCTCTTATATGTTTAATGACCGCTTTTACATATTGTTTCGGATGATTAAAACTCTTGATACCAAAAGATCACTGCTAATTCAGCTAAAGCATGACCCTGTTTTGATACCAAAGGGGTTAGGATTTTACCCAGACGGGGAATACAAGCCAGACATTCGACTTCAAGATGTACGGTATTTTTTCCATGCAAAAGTTCATTTTTTTTAAAATTATGATTGAAACTGAATTATATGTTGTTGATGTATGAATTCGAATTGCGACCCGATACTCATCTAGGCTAGCAACAAATTGTGGCAAGATCAATGTCGATATCTATGCAGACAAAGCTTTACAAGGACTGGATTGGTTTAAAAACCTTGGATGATGCAGGAAAGGTTCACTACATTAACGTCTCAGGTCGCATCGGAATCTCCGACGAAGACATGAAAAAGCATGTTGTACCTTTCTTGAAGGATCAAGCCTCGATGCCAGGTAGCATTCGGAGTAGTCATGTCGAAGTTCATGGATCTCATCGCAAGGTCATGGTAAGCCGTGAGAGAAAGCAAGCAGTGGTTTTGTTGCAGGAAAAAGCGTCATCCGAACTAGTGCTCAATCGATCATCATCCTGCTGTTGGCCCCCGTCAGTCCAAAGCTTCATTAAGGAATTGCTTGGACTTGCAGAAGACTAAGCCATATCCGTACTTTTATTTATTTATTTAAAGAGTATTGTTTGAATTGAATTACGAATTAATTAGAAGTTATTGTATTAAAGATGATCTTACGAACATCGATATAAATCTAAATTCAAGATCTATCATCAAGTCATCGAGAATAATGAATTGAATACGGAAGCGTGTTTAAATTAATTGATATGTTAAATTAAGTAAAATTCAAAGATTAAAAAGACAAAATAAAAGTTTAAGGATTTTAAAAATTAAAGTGATAAACTTGGAAGGCCAAAAAAAAAAAAGTTGTTATGCCTATGAGATTTTATCAAATGCGCATATGTCTAACACCTTACAAAGAGAAAAACTTGAAGTTCATTTTGGCATCGACAAAATGAAAGCTTTGATCGGTTGTGAGAGTAAAGAACTTCAATGTATTGGTTTTGTTTTTGGTTGTGAAGGAACCAGATTCACTGTCCAAAGTGTGTAACTTTCCGACACAAATTGGAGAAAAGCAGGATACCTTGTCAACCTTGTTCAGTTTATCACATTATCTTCAATCTTAATTAAACCTTGCATGGGAGTGGATTGGATTAGGCAGCACTTTTACAATCTCTTCACATGGGCTGCTCCCAGGAAAGGCATTTTGAGTATAAAGATTGTTCCAAAATGGATAGATTGGTACTCAATGCTGATGTAATAAAGTGAAAAAAGAGAAGCAAAAGTATATATTATGTAAAATCTCATTGCAATGGCTGATATGTGAGGCTATTTGGCTTTCTTTACCTAAAAAGAAAGAATATCTGAGTCATCAAAAAGGCTAAAAGTAAGCACGAGCATTAACCAAAGCTTGCCTTCAAATATGCTCATTTCTCCCACAAACAAACCTAATCAATCCAAAACAAACTTGCTTTCTCACTCTTTCTTGTTTTACTCTTCTTCAATGGCAGACGTAGACTCCTACACCAAACAGCAGCAACTAGAAAAGAACAAAACCAAGCAAACCCGAGTAAGTATTATACGCGTTTCCTTTACAAAGCTCTCCTTGTCTTGATTTTCTCGGTTGTAATCCAAGTTCTTCCCTCACAAGCACCTGAGTTCATCAACCAAACCCTCCTCAATAGAAACTGGGAGTTTCTTCACCTTCTATTCGTTGGCGTAGCAGTCTCTTACGGCCTTTTTAGCCGACGAAACCATGAAACAGAGAAAGAAAATTATGTCAATCAATCCAAGTTTGATAATGTACAGTGTTTGATATCTAGATTCCTTCAGGTTTCATCGGTTTTCGATGAAGAAGCTGAAACTTATCTGGGTCTGATGATACAAAGGCCCAGACCTGGAGTAGCCTTTACTATAGGAACGAACCTCATGTTATTGTAGTTAAAGAACACTGTGTTATTGATGAAAACACAAGTTCTTGTCGTGGAAACCCTGAAAAGTCTTTGCTTTTGCCTGTTAGGAACTTGAAACCACGTGCTTTGAACGAGACAAGTAGGGAAAATCGTGCGAATTCTAGCTCTCTTAGTAGGTCTAATTCTGATTTGAGTTCCAAAAGGTACGAATGGAGTGAGAATAATAATGTTGTTCTTCCTTCACCGGTTCCATGGCGTTCAAGATCTGGAAGAACGGAAATGAAAGAAGATAATGAATTTCGGTCATTTAGGTCCCAAAGTTGTCCCATTCACCGCCTCTATGTTCTTCGAACTCGTCCTTATCTCCTTTTTTGTCAATGGAAGAACAAGCTAAGGGTGCGGAGGATTCCGTGAGAAAAAAATCCATTTACAGGTCTCCTCCGCCACCTTCTCCGCCACCACCAATGACTCAAAAGCCATCATCATTGAAACCAGTGAAGTCAAGGAAAGGTGGTGAAGTTCAAATTGGGAGGATCAACGGCAAGGCGGTGAGGTTTGATCATCAAAAATCATCGAGGGTCGAGAAATTGAACTGGGAAAGCGTCATGGAACTTGCACAAGAAAAGAGAGTGGTTGTTGAAAAGGTGATGGTCGAAACTACTACTGATGATGATTCAGAGATTGAGGAAGATGGAGCTGGTGAAACTCCCATTGTTTCAAGCATCGAAAGGAGCCCAAACAACGAGTATCCAAGCAGTGGGAATAATGGGGGTTCCGATGTGGATAAGAAGGCAGACGAATTCATAGCCAAAGAAAGGGAGCAAATCAGGCTGCAGAGGATCGATTCTATTAAGCGATCGAGTGGCCAGTTTAAGAGAAACTATTCTTGAAGACACATCGAGCTTTACAGTTTTTACACTTTTGTGTTTCGAATTTCCTTCCGGTTCTATCATTACTTGGTTTAATAGCATTCATGAATTTAAGGTGCTGGGTATACAAATATAGTGTAGGTTATTTACTTTCATCTAAGTTGATGTCTAAATATTTGAAGGATCGTTCAATTATAGGTAAGTTGATAAGAGATTAGCTATATATATATTCCATTCTAAGTTCAATAACATCGACAATAGCCCAAAGTTCAGCGTGTAAGACTGAAGAAATGCCAAGGCTCCTGGAAAAACCATAGAGCCTGTTGGAAGTCAAACTCTCTTGTAATTATGTAGAAACAATCACATGTGGAGCAATATAAAACAAAAGTGCATGCCGGCAAGAAGATCCAAACTTTGCAATTAAAATATCAATATGTCTAGAAAAGTCTTGAAATCCTTGGCAATTAAGGAATTCAATCACGCGGCTAGAAGAATTTAGAAGCAAGTTAAGGCGGTTTATTATATATATATATATATGTGTGTGTGTGTGTAATGTGTAGCAAAGCAAGCGTGTGAGTAGTGAACGAAAGAAAAAATACGAGTGAAGAAAAAATAGAGAGAATTGAGAGAGAGCTTAGCAAAGCTATAAGGTGATTGTAAACTAATCACATCTAGTATTGTAATATTGAGGTAGTGTCGTTATAACGTATTTTGTTTCGTATTAATAAAAGAGTAAGTGTTATAAATTATTGAGTGCCCATCTACGCTTCCAACAAGTGGCCTCAGAGTTTGGTTCGAGTTTAACGTGGTGGAGAAGATGGTCAACATGATTTAACCACAAATCTCGAGATTGAAAAGACAAATTATGGCAACTGGATCATTCAAATGAAAGCGTTACTAGGCTCTCAAGATTGTTGGGATATCATCGAGGATGGTTACACCGAGCCTGAAAATGCAGCAGTAGAAGCAGCCCTGGCCAATGAAGAAAAGAGGTTATTAAAGGAATCCCGGAAAAAAGATAAAAGAGCGTTGTTCTTTATTTTTCAAGGAGTAGACGAATCTACCTTTGAAAAAATTTCTAATGCGAAGACCGCAAAACAAGCGTGGGAGATTTTACAAAAATCTCTACAAGATGCCGAAAAAAGCAAAGAAGGTACGCTTACAAACTCTTAAAGCTGAGTTTGAGATGTTAAAAATGAAAAATACAGAAACCATCGATGATTATATTAACCGTGTGAAAGCGGTCGTAAATGAAATGAAAAGAAATGGTGAATCACTCGACGATGTTAGAGTGATGGAAAAAATTTTGCGGTCATTAACAAGAAAATTTGATTATGTGATTGTGGCAATCGAAGAATCGAAAGATTTATCCCAAATATTGATCGATGAGCTTGTGGGTTCACTTCAAGCCCATGAGCAGAAAATGAAACAAAATGAAGATTCTGAAAATTTGGAGCAAGCTCCACAAAGCAAGATGAATGTCAATGAAGAAGAAGCTAGTAGCAGCTACACACAAGGCCAAGGAAATTGTGGAGGTTATCGTGGAAGATACAGAGGAGGACGAAGAACTCGTGGACGTGGTGGTCTATCATATGGCACCGATCAAATAAGTGAAAACAATCCAACATCAAGTGAACGAGGATTCAGAGGCCGAGGTAGAGGCAGATATCAACAAGGAAATAAATCTCAGGTACAATGTTATAATTGCAATAAGTATGATCATTATAGTTATGAGTGTAGATCTGCTCCTAAACAAGAAGAAAGAAATAACGTAGCAACAGCTGAAGAAGAAAAAATTGAAAAATCTAATGTATTCCTCACTTGTAAAGGAAATGAAGAATTCAAGAAAAATATTTGGTATCTTGATAATTGTGCCAGCAACCATATGTGTGGTCAAAGGGAACTGTTTGTGAAATTAGATGAAACAGTCCATAGGCGAGTAACTTTCGGAGATGACTCGCACACAGAACTAAAAGGAAAAGGCAAAGTCATGATTACTGAGAGAAATGGAGAAAAGAAATACATTTTAGATGTTTATTATGTACCTGCTTTGAAAAGCAATATCATCAGTCTTGGTCAACTCCTGGAAAAAGGATATGAAGTGCAAATGAAGAATCGCTTGCTTGCCATCAAAAATAAAGAAGGAGAATTGATAGCCCAAGTTGATATGACTCAAAATCTTCTCTTTACAATTGATATCGAGTAGGGAGAAGTCAAGTGCATGAAGACTGCGATCAAAGATGATTCATGGCTATGGCATCTAAGATATGGACATCTTGGATTTCTGGTTTGAAGATGTTATAAAAAACAAGCACGGTGAAAGGACTACTAGAGATCAATCCTCCAAATCAATTCTGTGAGGCTTGCATCAAAGGAAAACAACATAGACAAAGCTTTGAAGTTGGTAGATCCTGACGTGCCCAAGACCGCTGGAGATAGTACACATAGATATAACTGGTCCTTTTGACATACCATCTCTTGGCGGTAACAGGTACTACCTAACTTTCATTGATGATTTTAGTAGAAAATGTTGGATTTTATCTTTAAAGAAAAGTCAGAAGCGTGGAAAATTGAAAGAATTTAAAGCAATGGCGGAAAAATAAAGCGGTCAATATTTGAAGATACTCATATCAGATAGAGGAGGCGAATATATATCAAAGTTATTTGAAGAATTCTACAAAGAGCATGGCATCATCCATCAGCTGAAAGCCAGATACACGCCACAACAAAATGGAGTTGCAGAAAGAAAGAATTGCACAATCCTGAACATGGCAAGAAGCATGATAAAAAGTAAGTAACTACCGAGAAATTTTTGGGCTGAAACAGTTCGATGTGAAGTTTACCTATTGAATCGATGTCTAACAAAAAGTGTGAAGTATATGACGCCAAACGAAGCATGGAGTGGACAGAAACCATGAGTTAGACACCTCAAGATTTTTAGATGCATCGCATATGCCCGCATTCCTGAACAGACCAGAAAGAAGCTTGATGATAGAGGAGAAAAATGTATTTTCATTGGCTATGATGAAAGAAGAAAAGCTTACAGATTATATAATCCTCTTACCAAGAAGGTAATAATTTCAAGAGATGTCGAGTTTGATGAAGCAAAATATTACAGATGGAGCAAAGAGGAAAATAAAGTTGAAGGGCTATTTTTTAATGAATATAAAGATGCGATCTTATCAATCAAGATGAACAAGCTGATGATCAAAGTCCTCAATAAAATGTACCATCGTCGTCAAGCAGCATCAGCGATACTAGCAACATAATAGAGATTTTAAAGCACCTCCCATAGAAGTTCGGAGATCCACAAGAGAGAGAAGATACCAGAAAGGTACAACGATTATGAATTAAATAATGTCTCACTTTTTTTCTTACTTGCGAATAGTGATCCAATAACATACGAAGAAGTGGTTGAAGATGACAAATGGAGGAATGTAATGGATGAATAAATAGCATCAATAGAAAGAAATGATACATGAGAGCTAACAAGACAACCAGAAGGTCATAACCCAATTGGAGTAAAATGGGTTTACAAGACTACGATCAATAAAGAAGGAAAGGTCGAGAAACACAAAGCAAGGCTAGTTGTCAAAGGCTATAAGCAAAGACAAGGAATAGACTATGATGAAGTATTTGCTCCAGTAGCAAGGATCGAGACCATCAGACTTCTCACAGCAGTTGCAGCACAAAAAGGATGGAAAATTTATTAAATGGATGTGAAGCCAGCATTTCTAAATGGCTACCTAAAAGAAGAAGTTTATATTGAGCAACCACCTGGATATATTAAAAATGGACATGAAGACAAAGTTTATCGATTGAAGAAAACTCTATATGGTCTGAAACAAGCCCAGAGAGCATGGAACACGATAATTGATGAATATTTCCAAGAAAATGGTTCATGAAGAGTCCATACGAGCATGTCTTATACACAAAGAAAAATGAAGACGGTTATATCATGATCGTGTGCTTATATGTGGACGACATGATTTTCACAAGAAATAATTCAGGTATGTTCAATGATTTTAAGAAAGCTATGAATAAAGAATTTGAAATGACATATATTGGAGAAATGTCATACTTCCTTGGAGTTGAAGTGAAGCAAATGCAAGAAGGAATATTTATATCACAAAAGAAGTATGCAGAAGAAATTTTAAGAAAATTCAGAATGGAAGATTGCAAGCCGGTAGCCACTCCAGCAGAACCAGGAATCAAATTAAGTGTAAATTCAACAAGAAAGAAAATAAATCTGACGTTGTTTAAAAGCATTGTTGGAAGTCTAAGGTATCTGACTATCACACAACCAGACATAACATACGTTGTGGGATTGGTAAGCAAATTCATGGAGAATCCGAAACTAGATCATTGGATTGCAGTAAAAAGAATCCTGAGATATGTCAAAGGTACAACAAGTCATGGTTTGTTCTACACGCGATCAGAAAATTCGAAGCTGGTTGGTTATTCTGTAGTGATTATGGGGGAGACTTAGACAATCGAAAAGCACAACTGTATATCTATTTCATATCGGCTCTGCAGCATTTTCATGGTCATCAAAGAAGCAACAAACGGTAGCTCTTTCAACATGTGAAGCAGAATACTTAGCCACAGCAGCATGCACTTGCCAAGTAATGTGGTTAAAGAATATTTTGAACGAGTTAAATTTGGCACAAGAAGAACCAACTACAATCTATGTCGACAACAAGTCTACAATTTCCCTTGATAAGAATCCAGTCTCCCATAGCTGAAGCAAGCATATTGATACAAAGTATCACTTTATACGGGAGCAGGTGAAGAACAAAAATGTGAAGCTAATTTACTGCAGAACCAAGATCAACTAGCAGATATTTTCACAAAACCATTGAGAGCAGATATATTCATCCGACTAAAAGAAAAGCTTGAAATGGAAATTCGAGTTTGAGGGGGAGTGTTGGAAGTCAAACTCTCTTGGAATTATGTAGAAACAATCACAAATGGAGAATATAAAACACAAGTGCATGTCGGCAAGAAGATCCAAACTTTGCGATTAAAATATCAATATGTCTAGAAAAGTCTTGAAATCAA